AGATGTAGGGCACATTAAGGTAGTCAGTTTCTACTGTGGGATTGAGGGTCCCACAAAAAGGAGAAGAAATTGATGCAGGCGTTCCGAAATGGACTTTGGGATCCACTACAGAGAGTTGCAGAACAGGTAAGTAAACTTAGGGAGAATTTTCATTTGTATTAAATTATTACATCCTAGTAGGGACAGTGGCAGGTTCTCCCATGCTTTCAGTTTTGTCTTTACTGTCTGAAACACTAGGGAGATAAAATCAGATGCATTTTGAGAAGCAATAACTCCCAAATATTTAAACTCCTCCACCCATTTCAACTGTTTGTTGAATGAACCATGCAACATGCATCAGGGTCGATAGAAAAAACACTGAGATTTGGTCCAGTTTACCTTAAGCCCTGTGACTAAGGAGTAGAAGTGCAGCACCTGAAGGGCCCCCTGCAGTGAGGGGCATCATAAGCATAATCTGGGAGGGGATCATTTGCATACAAGGCCACCCTCTCCTCCAGCCAAACTGAAGATCTTTGATATCTTAAAAGACTTGGAGAGCTTCAGCCTCCAGCTCTATGGCTATGGCAAAATGGGCTGGAGAGAGAGGGAAGCTCTGCCAGGTACCCCTATGTAGCCTAAAGGAAACTACCTCCCAATCTCATGACAGCCATAGAGTAACAATAAATAGTTTTTAGCCAACTAATGAAAACTAGGGAAACCCCATGCTCTGTAGAACTTCCCACAGGTGAGGCCACCCAACCACATCGAATGCCTTCTCAATATCAAGAGAGACAACCACCCTGGAGCCCGCATTGGAATGTAGGACATGCATACTGGTATATAAGCTGCACAGATTAATATTGGTAGATGTATGGGCCATGAACCCCATTTAGTTTGACTCAATCATCACAGGTAACGGTCCGGTTAAGTCTGAAAGAGAAGTTTGGTCCAAATTTTTAAATCATTATTAAATAGTGCAAGAGGTCTATAGGAGGCACATAATGTAGGGTCCTTGGACAGTTTATAATTCAGGACTGCAGTATATGAGCATGGCTCATGGAGGAAGGGAGTACTCCCTCAGCTAAGCACTGCGTATACAATTAAGGCAAAATCAGGCCAGAGTTCACCATGAGCCTTATAAAAGTCAACGGGGAGGCCTGGGGTCTTCCTTTAAGGGAAGGACTGGATGGCTGCAAGGTCTTCTTCTGTGGAGATTCGGTGCACTAGGACAGACTGCTCAGTGTCCTACTGCCAGCCAAGGGCAACTTGGATCAGGAGGGAGGACAAACCCCGGATAAAAATCCGAAGGAAGAGTCCAGGTATAAAGGTTTTATAGTAATGGCAGAAAGTTTACAGGATACCGTATAGGGAAGTAATGACCTCATCCGTGAGAGTCCAATGCTTTTGGATCAGAGTAAGGGGTAAGTCATGCTGAACCATAATTGCTAAGAGTCTACCATTTTAATCCCCCTGTTCAAAGAATTTCTGCTTACATCTTAGAGATCTAGCCTTGTGACCTTAGCTAGGTGGGGATGCAGTTCTTTTTTATTAGCCATTAACAGGTTACATTTTTACATTCAGGAGTCAGAGTTATGCCTGTCAGTCTGAGCCTCAACTGACCTCTGGAGAGATTGGGTAGCAGCAGACTGATTGGTCTTAACTGTGTCTATGGAGGAGATGCACAGTCCCTGGGTGTACTTCTTAAAGGCATCCCATACAACATCTGGAGAGAAAGTTTTTTCAGCAACAACAGGGTAGGAAACTCAGTTGGGCCCAAGGCCCATAGAAATGCATTACGAATAGAACTAGCATGGAGGACTAGGTCCAGGAGCAGTGATCAGACATTCCGCTAGGGAGGTAATATGCATCCATAACATCAGCCAATAATGAGGGATTAGGGAAAGCCACGTCAATATGCAAGGAGGTCTTATGAGAGGTGGCAAAACAGGAGTAGGACCTGGTATTGTATGCTCAGTGACACCAGTTGCTTGGGCCCAAAAGGAAAGATCTCTAGAAAATTTTTAGGAGATGTGAGTCTGTCCAAATCATGAGACAGGGTGCAATTGAAATCGCCAATCAAGGCAATTTGGCGGGACAATAGGGGGTAATCCTCTCCAGAACAGCATATAGCAAGGCAGAAGAAAAAGGAGCAGGAACATAAATAGCAGTTATCACACAATGTTGATGTCACAAGGTTAACACTGCAATAACATATTTGCCGTGAGGGTCAGTATGTACAGTTTCCACCTCGCAAGGAAAAGATTTACTAATAAACACGGAGACCCTCCCCCCCCCAGCAAAGGTAGAATAAATAGTTTAAAAAATGTTTTGAACCCATGTTTTCCATGCCGTCATTTTGTTGCCAATAGGATGCATTTCTTGCAGTAATACAATTTGAGGGGTGGGTAGTTTGACACAATGAAAGAGTAAAGCCCTATTAAATGTGAAATTAAGGCCTTAGACATTCGAAGAAAGGACAGTAAACAACCCGTAGTCATATGGAGCCACAGCGGGAAAAGGGTACCATTAAAAGCAGGGTAACTGTTTCTGGGGATGGAGACATCCAATGGGCATGAAGACAAGACCGAGCCAACACCATAACACAACACAACCATTAAACCAAAACCCCTGTCGTATTGTTGTGTGTTCTCTGCCTGTACCTGTCCCCACCACAAAAAGGATTATGGAAGGGGGGGGGAGCAGATAGCGGTCTATACCCATAACAGGAAACCTTAGACTGGTTATAGCAAGAACACTATGTCCAGTAGAATTCCCTGGGAGACCCCAGGAGGTGGAAGCTTTGTTCCAGGATTGGGAGGCAAAGGGAGTTTCTCTGTGTCAATAGCTTTTTCCTGGAGAGCCATGACCTGGAGCTGGAAGGCAAAAAGCTCCCTGGAGTCTGACTTCAGAAAATTTTAGCGACTGTAGCTCCTTGAATTTTATTTCAATAGCCCTGTAGTAGGAGATAATTCAGTTGGCAGGGATTTGCAAAAACAGACATCTGCTTAGTGTTTCTTATGTTTTACAAGAATTATATTACAATTCAACAAGTATGAGAATATATTTTATATCTTTTATGCAGGGAAAGGGGGCGCTTACATCAGTAAGTTATTTATGACATATATTTGGGTAAATCCATCCTAAATTTCATACTTTTTGCACTGCAAACCAGCTTTCAGTGGATGACACTAGAATACTAGTAAAATGATGCAAGGAGACAGACGTAGGAAGACAATAACACAATTTACATTCATTTTACCACGCATGCTGAACTGCAGTAGTTCATTTTAATGGATGTGTCAGCTAAGCTCGCAACCCCATGGCTTCATGATATATTAAGGGGTAGAAACTGTGGAAACTTTGCAGGAAATATTCTCCTTTGTCATTAGCATGCTGTAATAAAAGTAACACTGTAAAACATTCAATCACAGCAGAATTCATTTGCCTTGTTGGTATTTACAACTCCCAGCTGCCAATTTATATTAGCATTTGCTAGTATTGTTTAAGATCTAATGGTTTAACACTTGAGCCATGGGAAATAGGCATATCTATTTTAAATTTTACTACAAGCTGTCATTCCAGTGATTAAACAATCTGCATTTGCATATGCTGTGTTCAACATGCTTATATTAATTAAAATGATGAATACTTGACATTTTTTACTGGGTTCAGAAAGATTTACACACATTTTTTTTAATTTGCTGTCTATAGTGATACAGATTAACATAATACATAGAACTATCCAAATAATAGTGACCATGTACATATTGATTTTGTTATTAGATGTGCAATGTGCAAATAAACTGAATAGCCATAGCTTCCTTTTAGATTTAGACTCAATTTCAGTTGGATTGGATCAGGATGAATCAATCAGCAGCGCTGAGATACTTTATTTATAAATACAATCATATTGTAATCAATTTGATTATGAGATGACATGGTGGAATCAGAGATACAATCTATTATCGTAAGTTAACATCACTTTTTAAACATCAATCAAATTCCACTTCCCCATGTGACATATCGATCAAGTGGACTATAAATCAATTATTCCTATTGAAAGGGGATGATTGGGAAAAAATTAAAGTGGTAGTAAACCTAAAAGCAAACATTTTTTTATATTGCAGCTTACCAATTCTTAGATGAGATGGCTGCATTAATTTTGTTTTTTTAGGCTTTCTTTCCCTTATTTTTACCTGGGGATCCAGCCAGTAAGTCTATTTTTTTTTCAAAAGAACAAGCTCTTGCAGATGTAGCAGTTACATGGTTGAGACAAACCATTTACCACTGACAGGGTTGTTTGCAATGATCAAGTTTTATTTATATGAAACCTTTACCCCAAAAGGAAAAAAACAATGCATGTAACTGCTTATTAAGTGTAAACTGGAGCTCGGCTTCAATGTATTTAGTGTAGCTAAACCTGCTAGTCCATCTAGCACACTCCTCCCCCCAGAATAACAATGCCTCTGTTTAAATTTGCCCCCTTGATGCTCCTTCATCCAGAGTGGGGCACTACAATACAGGAAGTGTGTTACTGGCTAGATCGCCATGTGAAAACAGAAGTAAAAAAAAGTCTAAGAAAATAAAGCTAATGCAGCCACCACATCTAATGATTGGTAAACTGCAATATATTACATTTTTGGTTTAGGGCTTAATACGTTTTTACTCATTTATCAAATAGCCACCATAAGAACAATAGCATGATTACCGTATTTTTCACTCCATAAGACACACTTTTTTCCCCCCAAAAAAGGGGGGAAAGTGTCAGTGCGTCTTATGGAGCGAATATAGAGTGGCCGGTCCGGTATTTCCACCGCCGCCACCGTGTCAGAATACTGGGCCGGCTGCTCAGCTCTTCGCTGCAGCAGAACCTTACCTGGTCCTTGGTCCAGCCCTGTACAGTCTTCCGCGCCGGCATCTTTAGTGTGGGCACCCGGCTGTGACAGCCGGATGCCCACTGCGCATTTGCGAGAAGCGCTGCGCTTTGTGAATGGCCCAGCATCTTCTGGGACACATGACAGGTCCCAGAAGACGCTGCGCCATTCACAAAGCGCAGCGCTTCTCAGGCATGCACAGTGGGCACACGGCTGTCAGCCGGATGGCCACACTAAAGGGAGGACAACTCTGCAAAACTGGGAGTGGGTACCTGCCCCCCTCCCAAAGGTCTGCAGTCTCTGGTCATCTCCTGTACTGTGTCTGCAGTCTCTGGTCATTCCCTGTACTGTGTCCGCAGTCTCTGGTCATCTCTTGTACTGTGTCCGCAGTCTCTGGTCATCTCCTGTACTGTGTCCGCAGTCTCTAGTCATCTTCTGTACTGTATCCACAGTCTCTGGTCATCTCCTGTACTATGTCCACAGTCTCTGATCATCTCCTGTACTGTATCCGCAGTCTCTGGTCATCTCCTGTACTGTGTCCGCAGTCTCTGGTCATCTCCTGTACTGTGTCTGCAGTCTCTGGTCATCTCCTGTACTGTGTCCGCAGTCTCTGGTCATCTCCTGTACTATGTCCGCAGTCTCTGATCATCTCCTGTACTATGTCCGCAGTCTCTGGTCATCTCCTGTACTATGTCCGCAGTCTCTGATCATCTCCTGTACTATGTCCGCAGTCTCTGGTCATCTCCTGTACTATGTCCGCAGTCTCTGATCATCTCCTGTACTATGTCCGCAGTCTCTGGTCATCTCCTGTAGTAGGTCTGCAGTCTCTGTTCATCTCCTGTACTGTGTCTGCAGTCTCTGGTCATTTTCTGTACTACGTCTGTAGTCTTGGTTCAGATATTTTTTTTGTTTTTTTCACCTCTAAAACCTAGGCGTGTCTTATGATCAGGTGCGTCTTACGAAGCGAAAAACATTGTAAATATATTCCTAAAATTCTGTTAATTATGTTATTAAAGGTTTGATCAAGGTTATGTGTTTCAGCTAAAATTCAGTCTTGGAAGAAACACTTATTAGGCTTTATTTCTTAAAGCTTAGATCCAGTCACACATTCTAGTACCCCACAGCAACCAAGAAGAAGACCTCCTTCATTATTCTTACTACTTTATGCCAATGAAATGTAATCACTGCTTTGTAGTTTGCTATGGTTTACTGTACATTAACAAATCATTATGTTGTTTTTGAGAATACAATGCAATAGAGATAATTTCTGAAAACCAAAGATATAAAAATATAGGCTTTTTCCTAAGCAACCAATCAAATTCTTTTTTTCATGTTCACAAAGAATAAAAGATTACTTATTGTTTCATATTTGCATTTGATTAATAAGCCTCAGTCTATGTTATATAAATTTATTTTCGCTTAAGCGGTAGCAAAATGAAAATAGTCATAAAGTAAACTGATTGCGGGAAGAGCAGTGAATCTGATTTGTTAAACAGATTGTGAGGATTTGTCAGGTGCTAACATGACTGCTTCTTGAATATCATGGGTCACCTTCACTTATGTAGTATCAGATAAACAAGCAGTTAAAGAAGTATGCAGTAAGTTTAGTATTCTATAACCTTGAGCTGGCACAAACTGATCGCCCCTTAGGTCAAGCTGTTTGCAGAGTGTTTCTTAAATCTGAACACTAGTTATCCTAGAAATTCACCTTTCGGTGCGGTCCTTTTCCACATTGCATGGATTAAATGCTTGTTTCCTCTAGAGGGTGATGAATAAGGTGAAATATATGCCTTATTCTTGGCTCCTCTGGCAGAGGCTGCTCTTCTCTGCTCTCCGACACTCCCAGAATGTGGATAGATTCTCAGTGTCCCTATGTACAATGCAGCATCACCACAGTCAAGCAATAAATATAAGTGGCATCAGGGAGGTAGCCTGGCAAAGCTAGGAATAAAGTAGGTTTTTTCACCATTTCCATCATTTTCTAGAATCAATGAGCACCCCCTTACATGCACAGTATATGGACAGGGGAGGGTAGCTGGAAGCAGTGGGGCTGGCTTTTGCTGATAAGGAAGAATACTAGCAATCAGAATGGATTTTATATAATGTCTAATTTCTCATTCCCCCTCTGACAGCAGCTTGTTGCTTGGGACAGCCAGAGCAGCTCCCTGTCTACTTGGTATGACTAGCTTATAATAGCAATGCAAGACCGTCCCTTGAAAAGCCACCTTCCTGAGAGTTAAAGTGGGCCAAGAGCATACCTACATATGTCTGGAGGCTTTACAGAGAGAGAGGGAGAAATGAGAAGCAGAGAAAAAAGTGTGATCTTGAAATTAGAGTGTGGATTGTGACCTGCTGCCCCTTTGTTGTAGTACTTGAGGGACAAGGGATGGGGGGGGGGATATCCTGGGAGAGAGAAAAAAGCATTTAAGATAGGTGATAAGGAGCAAGTGAGATGAAATTAAAGTGGTATGGTATTGTTAACATTCTCCTGGGGTTCCAGGAGAGTTAAAGTCTGCCTCCATTCCTTGCACTAGTACTCTATTAGAAGTCCATGTGGCAAGGGTAGCCAGCAAGTACTAAGCCAGTAGACTGGTAAAGGTTGTCAATAGTGTGGGATGTAAGAAGGGTGCTCCTTCAGGGTGTTACTGAAGGGAGAATGTTAGACGCTCTAGTTCACCTATAGAAGTGTTATTCTAGTAGCAATGCTATGCATTTTTCTGGATTTTGAAATCCTTGGTTAGTAGCCAAGTGCTCTTTCGCATTTCTCTGTGGTGGGGCTCTCATTGGCTTCCTGTGCCTGAGCAGTCAATCCTCAGACAAAACTGCAATAAACAAGTAGATGACAGTGAAGACAGGGACCAATTGGACTTGTAGGGAGCCTACTCCATCTGGCCAATATGTATTTAAGTGACCTAACTAGTTTTTCTTTAATATACACATAAACTTTGCTTTAGAGATGCTTTATACCTGCAATGGCTCTTTGTAGTGATATTAATGTGTGAAGCTGGAAGGACCTTTAAAGAAAATCTGTACTAAGCAGATATACACTCACCGGCCACTTTATTAAGTATACCTGTTCAATTGCTTGGTAACACTAATTGTTAATCAGCCAATCATCACATGGCAGCAACAATGCATTTAGGCATCTAGACATGGTGAAGACAACTTGTTGAAGTTCAAAATGGGCATCAGAATGGGGAAAAAAAGTGGATTTAAGTGACTTTGAACATGGCATGGTTGTTGTGCCAGATGGGCTTGTCTGAGTATTTCAAAATCTGCTGATCTACTGGGATTTTCATGCACAACGATCTATAGGGTTTACAGAAAATGGTCTGAAAAAGAGAAAATATCCAGTGAGCGGCAGTTTGTGTGGACGGAAATGCCTGGTTGATGTCAGAGGTCAGAGGAGAATGAGCAGACTCGCTGCGACATTCAGATGGTAAGGTCAGAATTTGGCAAAACAACATTAAAGCATGGATGCATCCTGCCTTGTATCAACGGTTCAGGCTGGTGGTGCTGGTGTATTGTTGTGGGGGATATTTTATTGGCACTAGCAAGGTGTACCTAATAAAGTGGCCGGTGAGTGTATATGCTGAAGTCATCTTTCTGTTACCAGTGCCTCCAGAGTCACCGACCCAGAATTATGAAGATCTGGAGTTCAGACTTTTCTCTGGCTTCTTTAGTTACATACTTCCTCCACGCCAGAAAGAAAGCCAGAGACAGCCAGACAATTAGCATGTTAACTGGGAGTTCAGCAGTTTCCATAATTCTCTCTGTACGTATTTTATTTAAAAATAAAAACTGTTTAATCATTTAGGAATTTACTTATACACTATATAGCCATTACAAGAGAGTATTTCTACACATCTAACTTATCCTTGAGATGTGCCCTATCAAATCAAAATAACCTGATGATGGATGCAGGCACATACCATTCTTTTTCTCTATTCTTAAATAAGACCTCATGGCAAAGTCCTGCCAATTGTCATTTCATTCTCCAATGGGAGTTCGTCTTTGGTCAGTAAGGGCACTCCCACTGGACAGTGGAATGTAAGTTAGTGGAGTTCAACCATAAAGTAAGAAATAGCTAGAATCTTTTGGTGTCTGCTTTTAGGAAGGACTTAAAAAAAAAAATTAAATGTAGTAGAGGGTCAATTTATGTATCAAGTTATGAGAACTGCTGGCATACATCCATGGACAGTCAGCTACCAAAGAATGATGTACTCAGAAGACAGTTGTTTGTAAGAACATTTTTGTCACATTACAATACCTTGTTCTAACTAGTCATACCTGTATTTGTGATCATAGTAAGCCTACACCATCACGGCTGTTCAGAACAGTTTATCTATCAGCAACGCAGTTCTTTTCATGTGTTACTTGTCAAGTTATGGTGTGTGCATCCATCTAATCTTCTTAGTAAATATTCTCAACACCTCCTCAGAACAACCCTAGTATAACTGGCCAGTAGGTAGTTTGTTCTAATATTCTTTATACAGCTGCAGGTCTAAGATATATTCAATATCCATTAACAGGAGCCTGGAATTGAAAGCGTGACCTCTGACATCAATGAATTTTTATTTCATTTTGATCAGCTTTGTGAAATCCAGAACAACAAATGTCAGTTACTGAACTATGTGTTGTAGAGGTAAGGTGACAATAGTGTTAGCATATTTTTGAAGATGTTTATTTAACAATGCAGGTATGTTAAGACAAATGAAAAGCTTTAGGCTAGCGTTCAAAACAAATAACGCATCTATTTATAGCGAAATGCAATGGAAATGTACATAGGGAAAAATGAATAAAAATATTTTTGGGCAATTTTTTTACATACATCCTAAAATCAGGCGCTGGTCAAACTTAAATGTTTGATACAAAGCTTTATTAAATATTTCCTCTACATAGTAAACATCCTATCATATAATATAAATTTCAGTCAAATCATAGCCTGAAGTGACAGACAGCAAAAAATTGCTTGTCTACAAAATTACTCTAATAGTAGGAGCACCTAATGAGATTCAAGGAGGCATATTATAGTAGAAAAAACAGTTTGCAGTACTTGCAAACCTTCATCTCTGACTCTGAGGCCACATGAAAGGATCATGGTCATGAAGTTGAACATTTCATGTATTTTGGGTTGTTAAATATTTTCTTTAAACCCATAAAACATAAAGATACATAGCATGTAAGGCATAATAGAATGCTTAACCAAGATTTTGTCAATGGGCTTGTTCACACCACCAATGTAAGTGTGAAGTGTTACACCAGTTAGCTGGCAACATTCAGAGTTGCCATAATACACAGGTACCATATATGTGTAGAGCCAGGTGGCGGCTATATCATTATACTATTCTGGGACATTTGCAGATGAGATTATGGTTAATCCTTTTCCCCCTAGTTTCCAGTACTGGGACTGCTACATCACTTCCTGTTAGCAGAGCGGATTCAGTTTTTCTGATATCAGAGGATCTTGGGACCTGTAGTCCTATAGCCAATCCATCCAATCCATCCTGTATTCCTGAGTGCTGATCGAACTACAACTACCAGAGAGCTGGTGAACGAGAAGGATGCTGGGAAACCAGATATATTCTATAGCAGGGACTTGCTCTCTCTCTTGGCAGAGGATTCAGAGCTGAACACAGATGGTCTACCGTTCTCCACCAGAGATAAATTGCTGGCCTACTGCTGCAGGATGCTGCACATCAGTTCAGCACAGTGGTGACACCAATTGCCATACCAGGATTGCATCCTTGTCTCTCCATTGGGACTTTTATTGTCCGGTCTTCACACAGACATCTCAGCTCGCCACGCTGACAGACCATCAGGTGGTAACTCTACACATCCCTGCAACAAGTCAAGAGCCTGGGCAGGACTTCTTTTCCTAGGAGGCCTTGAT